GCTGCCCTCCGCTGACAGGACCCCCCCAGCCCTGTGTGGGGCCTCGGCCTTCCCTGGCTGTGCGCTGCCCCTTTGCTTCTCAGGGCCTCTCCGCATGCTGCCAAGTCCCTTCTCTCACAGGTGTCGCAGACCCTGATCTCTCCCTTCCACCTCCTTTTTCAAGAAGAGGCCGGACCTTCCCACCTTCCTGCTCAGGGTGAGGTAGCAGCAGCCGTGTCAGACTCGCTCCAAGTATGATCCGTGCTGTGACCCCCGCGGTGGCTTGAAAGGCTTCAAGGTGCACCCCGAGTGATGAGAAGCAACCTAGAAAGACGTGATCCGGCGGCAATATGCTCTGGCCTGGGCATTGCCACCCATGGTGTGCGGAGCACGCAGGTTCCTTGCTTCGAGGTGGCATCTGACACCTTGAATGATGGAACTGGCAGCACCAAAACGAACTCATGAGCAGGAATTCATGCCAGGTGATGCCAAAAAGGCCTTGTGGCTTGGCAGGGTGCATTTCCCTCAAGTATTTTCTGTTTTTCAGGAAATATGAAAATAGAGAATGGTACTGCCCTGCACATTGTGGAGGTGTGAGAGACGAGAAAGGAATGAGAGGGGACAGCAGGGATAAAATAGAATTTCACTAGGTCAAAACCTTCATGGGGGAAGATTGTAAAATGGACTTGACTAGCTTGCGTTCAAGTCCAAAAGGCTCCCCAAAGTTCAATGGCCTCCAGAAATATATTTAAAAAATGCTACCAGCACAGAGTGATGTCGAGAGGCAGCTTCTCACCTTGAGGTTCAAACCCAAAGGTCACTAATAATGGCAGGGATCAAATACTGCAGAAAGACGTAGCCAACAAATTTCTTGTCCAAACTGTCACTGGCAATTTGGGTTTGATAAGGATTGATAGCATTGCAGATGAGCTGCTCATAGAAAATAACCTCAGATTCCTCATAATGAGCCCATTCCCCAGGATTTGATCATCAAACCAAATTCAGTTTAAGTGACGAGAGTGTCAAAGTGGTCTTATTTATAAGGGAAACCTTGAATTTTAGAGGGCAAGAGTTGATAAACAAATGGAACTGCTTTGGGCGCTTGACAAAGGCCCTCACGTGGAAGAGTCTCTGAAGCGGGATGCCCACAACCAAATATTTGTTTCCCAAGGGAAAAAGGAGAACACAACCATCAATGAAAAACACCTTACCCTACCTCTTGTTTGCAGGAGAGAGGAGGCTTCAAAGCAGCCTTGTGGTGAGAGACACTTCCAGGATGCCGCTTGGTGATGCCTGCGGGGCCCAGAGGAAAGCTCACCTTCCATGTTTTTCCAGGTATGTTGTCAGGCTTAAACTGGTCACTTCAGGCACATTTTGGCTGTACAACAGCCGGGGCTCCACAGTTCCACAGGGCTTTGGCAGCAATGGTGTCTGAGCTCCCCTCCCCTGCCACCCCCC